GCAGGTCACCTGAGATTGGGAGTTCGAGACCAGACTGACCAACATGGAGAAACTCTATCTCTAAAAAAAAAAAAAAAAGAAAGAAAATTAAATATCTGGTCTAAGTTAAAAAATTGAAGGGCAGTGGCTCAGCCTGTAATCCCAGCACTTTGGGAGGCCAAGGTGGGCAGATCACGAGGTCAGGAGATTGAAATCATCCTGGTCAACATGGTGAAACCCCATCTCTACTAAAAATACAAAAATTAGCTAGGCGTGGTGGCACATGCCTGTAGTCCCGGCTACTCAGGAGGCTGAGGCAGGAGAATTGCTTGAACCTGGGAGTTGGAGGTTGCAGTGAGCTGAGATCCTGCCACAGCACTCCAGCCTGGGTGACAGAGTGAGACTTCATCTCAAAAAAAAAAAGTACAAATTGAAGGGCAGACTAGCTGATTCCTGTGGTCCCTTCCAGTTGTAAAATTATGTGGCAGCAAGTAAGCAACGTGATTTAATGTCTGCATTAATCTACATTAATCTCTTGGCCAAAACTGTAGTCACAGAGCCCATTCCCCACAGCATATCAGGGGAAAGACTCAACCAGGTGCACGTTATCTCCCTACAGGAAAATGAGGACGAGGCGGGAACTGGAGCCCAAGGGCCCCAAGCCAACTGCCCCTTCTGCCATGGGCCCAAACAACAACGGCAGCCAACAGCCTGCGACTGTGACCTTCAGCCCTGTTGACGTCCACGTGGAGACTCGGTGACCTCTACCCTGGTGCTATCTCCACTACTGTCCAAAGAGCCTCTCCAGAGTCAAGCCCCAGAGGCACACTCTCTGGCAGCTTGACAATGAGTTTCTCCTGGTCAGGTCAACAGAAACATCTTTTACGCAATTTCTGATGCTTCCAGCAATTTTCAACCTCGTCTCCCCTGCCCTACCCCAACTATGTCCACATCCCCTCTGCCACCCCACCAAAAAGCTCCAGAACATTCTTTTGTCATCTGATGAAGTAGAGCTATGTTGGGAATCCACTCATGTGGGCTTGGCTTTCCCCCACGCTATAGTTAGACAGATAGACCAACAGACAGATAGCCCAGGAGCCGGGTGTCAGGGAGCACTGCTGAGAGCATCGCAATATGATCTGTCACGGGGTTCATATCAGAATAAGCGCCGTATCCACAGCTTCCCAGAGCAAAACATCCAATCCCATAACCAGGCACAGGGGAACTAACTTGGACTGACTAACCAGAAAACCTTGTTAATCTATAACTTGTTCTAGTACTAGATGTCTGCCTGCTGACTAATGATGACTGCTTAGCACATTTTTCCCTCTTGAAGAAAGATTGCAAGAAGAACTAAATTCTTCCCAAAAGATTTCTGCTGCATTAGTAAAGAGTCAGTGAAGGAACAGGGTGACGCTGCAGAATAGTGGCCTCTAGCCTAAGAGCTTGTTGCATTGTCCGTGGGCCTGGAACGATCCTGGGGGCTCAGCAGGCTCCTTCTCCCACCCTGGACTGGGGCAACCCTGACTCTGTCTCAGTTCTTGGCTCCCCTTTATCTGGATTCTCAGCAACCTTGACTGTCCTGTTAATACCTTACCTCCAAGGACCAATATTTGGAGATTAATTGGATTCCAGCTCTATCAATGTTATCTATGACCTTCCTGGTCACCTTCAGAGGTTCAAGACGTGTTCAAAGTACCACGTTCACAACCCATTTCTATTCTACGGAGATCTCATCTCTGACTCCTTAGCCTGGAGAACAACCTACCAAAAAGAGAAAGTATCTGGAATTAAGAAGTCCTACCATCCAAGCCCTGCTTCCTGGCTGTGTGGCCTTGGAAAAATGACTCAACCTCTTCATATTCAGTTTCCAAACCATGAAGTGGACATGATAACCGGCGCCGCACTGGGGCACTATAACAAGTGAAGGGCTTAGGAAAACACCTTGATTATAGTGCCTGGCACCCAGGAGATGCTTAATAAATGGGAACCAGGATTCTTTTTTTTTTTGTTTTTTGTTTTTCGTTTTTTTGAGATAGAATCTTTGTCACCTCGGCTGGAGGGCAGTGGCATGCTCACAGCTCCTGGGTTCAAGGGATTCTCCCTCCTCAGCCTCCAGAGTAGCCGGGAGAGATGGGGTCTCGCTGTGTTGCCCAGGCTGGTCTTGAACTCCTGGCCTTAAGTGATTCTTCTGCCTTGGCCTCCCAAAGTGCTGGGATTATAGGCATGGACCATGGTGCCCAGCCTAGGAGCTAACATTATTATTATTACAGGTTTTTTTTCAATTGCAAGATAGGCATTTCTTCACATTTTAATGATTCTGAAATCAGAACATATCTTGCAATTAATGGGTTAATTAATGCAATTGTAGTTTTTTACTGCCTCTCAAAAAGTTGTTTTTAATCAATTGTGTATCCTGTAATTGATGGCATCTTGGACACAAGGTAATAAATCTCTATTCTGTTATAGAAAGTGACACACTTTGACATTTAACCTCAAATTTGAAGAATCTCTCCTTCTTGGGATCAGAAATCCCTTTTGAGGCTGGGTGCCGTGGCTCATGCCTGTAATCCCAGCACTTTGGGAGGCTGAGGCAGGCAGATCACTTGAGGTCAAGAGTTTGAGACCAGCCTGGCCAACATGGCGAAACCCTGTCTCTACTAATAATACAAAAAAAAATTGCTGGGCATGATGGTGCGCTCCTGTAATCCCACTACTAGGGAGGCTGAGACATGAGAATCACTTGAACCCAGGAGGCAGACGTTGCAGTGAGCCAAGATCATGCCACTGCACTCCAGCCTGGGCAACAGAGTGAAGCTGTGTCTCAAAAAAAGAGAAATCACTTGTGGGGGAAATCAAGTCAGGGAGGTAAGAGGTCTAACCCAGGGTCACACAGCTCATGACATCCCGCTATAAAAATACTCCATGGAATAGCTCTGGAGAAATACTGGTAAATTCTTCCTCCCTGGCCATTATTTCTTCATACGGTGTTTAAATATCCACCAAGTGCCAGATAATTTCACATAAATTATCTCATAGGATTAAATTTTCCCAATAACCTGGGGAGGAATTATTTTTTCCAACACAGATGAAAATTTCTGACTCAAAGAGAGAGAGAAAAAAGTACTTTCCCAAAGTCACACAGCTAATAAGTCACAAAGATGGGACTCAAAACCAGGCCTCTTACTCCCAAAGTTCGTCTTTTTTGTTGTATTACACTCTTCTGCCAGCCAGGCTCAAAGCAGCACAGATTATTTTATGGGCTGAACAAGAGCACAGGTTTGTCCATGTGTTTGAGTGGAAATCAAGGTTCTGGCTTCCAGGTGGAAGTGAGGGAAAGCACTTTGGTAGCCTCCTTTGGGCTTCCATGATCATGGCCAAAGACGCCCCTTCTCAACCCATCCAAGCGCTAAGGATTCCTGCTTCATTCATCCTACTGCTTAGACTCAAGGAGCAAGGGATAGAATGGCATCTAACCAGAGCGAAGCCATTTGTTTCAGGTCTCAAGCCATGAATACATATGCTCCCCTAAACATATTCTGCTTTAAAAAGTTGTTTCGGGGCAGGTGTGGTGGTGCTCGCCTGTAATCCCAGCCCTTTGGGAGTCAAAGGCAGGCAGTTGCCTGAGCCCAGGAGTTCCAGACCAGCCTGGGCAACATGGTGAAACCTCGTCTCTACAAAAAATACAAAAATTAGCCAAGTGTGGTGGTGCACGCCTGTATTGCCAGCTACTTGGGAAGCTGAGGTAGGAGGGTGGCTTGAGCCTGGGAGGCAGAGATTGCAGTGAGCCGACATTGTACCACTGCACTCCAGCCCAGGTGACAGAGCCAGACCCTGTCTCAAAGCATTTTTCAGCCCTAAAACTGGATTCTTCTGACCACAGTGCAGAGTTCTAGGGATTACCCCCTAGTATATGTTCTTTTGCTAAATGAAGGCTTGGAGATGGAGAAAAGAGGAGGGGATAGAGTAATGAGGGGGGGCTAATAAAAGGGTTTGAGTGTCTCATTTTTGACTAATGAAAATAACTCAATAAACATCCTGTAAGAAGGGTTCCTATGTGCAAGTTTAGGTGCTACTAAGTACATTAAGACACAATTGCTGCTCTCAAGAAGTTAGCAGCTGGTCTCATGGCGGGGATCTTACCACGTGATTATGTATGTATTTTGTTTCTGATGAGATGCCTTTCTTAGTAGATGCTGCCTTATTTGGCCACTGAACCAATCAAAGCTATTAAATGCTTAATTAAAACTATCTGACAATAAAAAGGTTTAAATCAAACGTGTTGAGTTGATTTCAGTTAAGTTTAGAGCTAACAAATATCTTTTCTAAAATTTCCTTTCCCTGACAAAGTAAATAGAGTCCCAAGATGGCTGGGTGCAGTTGCTCATGCCTATAATCCCAGCACTTTGGGAGGTTAATGTGGATGGATCACTTGAGGTTAGGCGTTAGGAGGCCAGGAGACCAGCCTGGCCAACACAGAGAAACCCTGTCTCTACTAAAAATACATAACTTAGCAGGGTGTGGTGGCAGGCACCTGTAATCCCAGCTGCTTGGGAGGCTGAGGCAGGAGAATCACTTGAATCCAGGAGGTGGAGGTTGCAGTGAGCCAAGATTTTCCCACTGAACTCCAGCCTGGGCAACAGAGTAAGACTCTGTCTTAAA